TAATCTCCTCTCACGTGCACGAGCAGCTGGATAGAAAAGGTGTAAATTACGCAGCTCATTTACACACTTTTCCTGAAGATAGAAGAGTTTGTTGAATCTGACGTGGCAAGTTCGCACGAACCCTTTGTACGTACAAAAGTAAGAGAAATTTAGGATAAGAATACGAACATGTTCTTGCATGAGGCCCATTGATTCAATAACATCTTTTCCACATTGGTTCTTTGGCTAGAATTGGATGATTGTTTGGTGGTTGATTCACTATCAGTCGTCGACCTAAAATTGACTCCTTTGCTGTCTGGGCTGAAACTGGTTCAACTGAGTCTCCTGAATGTCTCACAGCGTTTGTGGTGGTTCTCAATGTCCTTGTCACAGAAGTGCACAATCCTGTCGCTCAAGTTTTGAACCTAGTCTCTTAAAATAGTCAAAGTTTTGAGAAGTGATGTAACGGTTTATGTGTCTACCTCAGCTGAAGTAAGCTGGTCACGTGAACTTGTACAGATGTGCCTTCATGGTGGGGTGCATGCAGCTTTTGGGGGCTGGGGCACCCACCTTGAGCAATGTTTTGGGAAACGCTGTAATATGCAAGATAATATGAATTTGTTTAGTTTTTATTAGGGTTGGGCGATAAATTGATTAATTTGCCATTCATAAAGATTTAATTTTGGGAAAATCTGTATTTTCTTCCCCCCCACCAGTGCACCCTTTGGGGCGTCTGTAGTTCAGAGGTCACACCTACCTGCCCCTCAAGACGCTTGGTACACAACATGACAATATGGCAGCTGGTAAAGAGGATCTACTTCCCCCCAAAAAAGGCACTGTTTCTTCAGTTTTCTGGATCTGGTTAGGGTTTGCAATCGGACTTGGAGCAGCAATCACCTCACTGCAAAATCAGTTTGAAGGCTCTTGCTACAAAAAGCAGGAGTATAACATTTGTTTCAACACCTGAAACAGAGGCACTCCAATAAGTGGGAAACAAAATCAATTAAAATCGAATATGGGATGAAAAAAAAATCTGAGATTTTCTTTTTGGGCCATATCGCTCAGCCCTATTTTTTATGCCGTTTATTTTAGTCATTACAGGGAAAAAACACGAAAGGGTTTTACATCTGTACTGATCAACAATCCCTTCCATTCCTCAGTCAAGAAAGTGTTACAGTCTACACCAGAACTGCAGGATTGCTACCATTTCCTACCGTATGAGTCAAGCTGTGGTTTTAATATTCTCATTTTGCAGTATTTTTCATTCAGGAAGCCATTAGGTTACTTAGTATCATTATTCTCAGACCTTTCAAACACATGAAGAGGAATGGGTCGAAGGCCACTTCAGATGCAGCTGGTCACTGAAAGGCAACGCTGCGCTGCTGAAACACACTTTTCCAGTGCTTTCCATAAATCATAGATCTGTCACTGCTGGGCATGTTTGCAGCACGACCGGGCTTTTGTGATTTATACACGTCACGTGTCGAACCGCATTGAAATTGAGGTCGTTTATCAGCGTGCGAACTGGAAACGAGTGGGAGCAATAAAAGAAGATGAAGGTTTAATGTTTGCAGAATTCACGGGCCCTTCCTATTTGTCTGTCAGGTGTCACATATTGTAGTAGGATGGGAAACGTATTTTTAGCAGCTTTTTTGGCACCTCAGGCGCCGGCTGGATGGTACGTAATCAGAAAAACAGGAACGGATTGACAGTCTGGATTGCGTCTCGACCGTTAAAGCCAGAGGGAGAATTAATTTAAAAACAAAGTGAGTTAAGAGCCTGACTATGTAAGCATTTTTTATTAAATTTTTTTATTTTTACAGGAGAGGAAGAGAAATGCACGCCACAGAATTTGATGATGGAAGTATTTTGGGCGTTCCCCATATTGGTCACTGCAACAGCTGGTGGTCCCGTATGGTGCATTCTTCTCTGCATGTGTGTATGTGTGTGTGTGTGTGCTGTAATGGGGTGTGGAAGAAGATATTTTGTGGAGAACACTTGCTCAGGCACCACTGTTGCCACAGGCATCCCTGGGAAGATAAAAGCAAACAGAGAGGCATTGTTCAAACTGAACTCTTTAACGCCACACTTCCTTTTTCTTATCAGTTGTCGAAGCATCATACAAACCCCTCACTTTTGGTGAACCCTACTTTAGATATTCTTCTGAGTAGATTAAATCCCCCAGGCCTCAGTAAGCCCCCGGGGGAGTTGGCGGACAGTCAGATTGGCAGCCTAATAAATACGCCTTTTCATTAGTAGCAAGCCTCTATTCGCAATACTTAAATGGAAATCCCCCTCCATCCTCTCATCCTATTTACCATACAGATTTTACAATAGAAGTACAGGACGTCTCTCAAGATAAAAAAAGGAGCACACACGTGATGGTCACATAATGTAAATAGATCATGATGCTTCTCTTTGTTTCCACCAGGAATAATAAAAAGGGTGCTTTAGTGTAAATTTAACCTAAAGTCATTTAAGTTTTCAGATACTGTAAATAGTGACACCTGGTTAACC